TCTTCACTTATCCCCTGGAAGCCTTTTCATGTCCCCCAGACTGCCATGCTGCTAAGGTCTCTTGCAGGGTAGATGTCAGATCCCATCTGAGCCTTCTGTGTACAATAAAAGGAGACAGATTATTGGGCACCAGAGTGTCCCACAGTTTTCAAATTCACTGAGCACCTTATGAAAAGAAGAGGGGATAAAAATATATGACTCCTGTTCTTGGTAGGACACAAAGAAGGAAGCAAAATAAAATCAGCAGAAAAGCCAACCTCCCTGTGCTATTGCCTGAAAGCTTTTTTTGAAGAATGTAATTTACAAGTGCTTGCAAGAAAACAACTAGTTGCATGTCTGCTCAGGAAGCTGGAGTAATGCATTGCTAAATAAGGTCGGGGAGGTGAAATAGCAGGCTTACTCCTCTAACCTTGCCAAAGTGAGCTCAAAACTATAAAGTCCCAGCTCTAAGTACTAAATGGGCAACTCTCTAGAGAAAGTGTAATAGAGGAAATTATGGACTGTCATGTTAGAAGACTTAGTGCAAATTTTGCAAGTCTCAGGCTACTCAAGTCATTGAAATTATGCCTTGTAAGAAAGCACAGTCTTCTCTCCTCTGTTGAAATGGAGCTTTGCAGAAGATTAAGACATTCAGTCCAGGACCATAGGTACGTGACTGGTACTTTTCTGTTAGCTACCTTAATTAAGCAGTCTTTTAGGCACTTTAGAGTGCCTAAAATCTGTATCTGGTCAGTGACGAGAGGAAGCTCTATACAAAGTCTTCACAGGGATGTACCATCTGCTTCTGCTGTAAGGGGACAAGTGTTTCCTGTGGGGAACTTCAGAAGCACTTTATTTTTTTTTCACTGAGGAAGACTAGTGTTTCCTTGATTACTTGTACAGAAACAAGTTCAGAGCTTGAACTAGTTGGGTAATGTCATGAGCATACCTATTAAAATAAAATAGCCATCTTAACAGTCCTGTTAATCTCCATTCTTCTTCAATCTGAGCAAAGCTTATTAATAAGTCTTGCTTTGTCCCTATAAACTGAGCAATTTACTATCCTGATGATTATTCATGCCAATAGATGTACTAAGTCTGACTTGGATGTAATTAATTTTTTTCATAGGAATCCTTATGGTGCTATGTTTTGGATTTTTGACCAAAACAATGTTGATAACACATGAATGTTATAGCTGCTGCTGAGCAATCTCTGCACAGCATCAAGGATTTCTCTGTTTCTCACATTGCCTTGTCAGTAGCCCGGCTGGGGGTGCATAAGAAACTGAGGGGACACAGCTGGGACAGCTGACCACAACTGACCAAAGGGATATTCCATACCATATGACATTGTGAAGCAATAAAAGCTGCAGAAGAAAAAGGAAGAATGGAGGTTGAAAGTTCTAGCATCTGTTTTCCCAAGTCACTGTAACATGTGAGGGATCATGGTTTTCCAGAACATGGCTGAATTGATGGGAAGCTGTGAATGAATTTTTTGTTTTGCTTTACTTGTGCACACAGCTTTGCCTTATCAATTAAACTCTTTATCTCAATGAAAGAGTTTTGTCGCTTTCATTTCTCTGATTTTCCTCTCCATTCTGCTGGTGAGGAGTGAGTAAACATCTGCTTGGGGTTGAGCTACCTACAAGGATTATCCCAAAGCAATAGAGAAGTCCTCCAAATAGTTGTTATCTTTAAGAAAGATATATTAGAGAAAAACAAGCAAACAAACAAAAAGTTTTTAATAAGATGTACCAAATAATTGCTCTAATTTTTTGCTCTTAACAAGTTTCTATTAGGCAAGATACTATTTCCTCAAGCAAAGGTGTGAATATTTGCCTATGATGTTGTGCAAACAGAAGACTTAATGCCTGTTCTGATTTTAACATGGGGTAGAACAGAAGAAAACAAACACCACAAAATTCACAGAAGATATTTTCAGAATTCTAATGATTAATTTGGATATAGGAACTATTGAACTAAGTCTTTGAACACTAAAAAGGTAATTTTTTTTACTAAAATCTGCACATACGCCTCTCATTTCTGGGAATGGTGAAGAAGTTGAGGAAATAAGCTGTTAGTGATGTAAGAGCTATCATCAGTCACACACAGATGGAAAAGCTGAAGAAAATTTGAATCTTGATAGAACATTGCCTTCCCCATTAATGAATCCAGCAACATTAGACAGGTATCTCTTGAGAAATTCATTTTACTCAAATACAAAGACCGGTGGAACTAGGGAAAGCATGTAATTACATTAGGTCCATAGAACCTGTTACAGTTGTTGATTAGGATTTTCTATTACAGAGAACTACCCTAGAGAATTAATTACCTAGAATCCCCTATATATGAGAGAACAATAAAGTTAGTTACTTTAAAAAAAATACTATTATTTTTGTAATTTTTTAGTGTAGACAATTGAGGCAAGAACAGTAACCTGTACTCTTCTTGGACAGTTCTGATTTACGAAACAAATTTGGCATCACAACCAACAACAGTTACTTCATTTTAAGTGAGATTCTGAAATATTTCATATTGCATTTTTCAAAGTTTTGTCCCACCTTTCCTCTAATGGAGTTTCCACTACAGAATCATAGAAGTTAAAGCTGTAAAATACTTATTACATCACCTTTTCTGCCTTTTTAATTTAGCAAACATGAGTGATGTAACTATTCTTTTGACCACTTATTTGACTGAATCTTGAAAACTTGCTAACAGGATTTCTCCATGCTCTGTCTAATCTACTTTGCAAAAAAAATCTCAACGTCAAGCCCTGAAAAACCCTGAAAGACAGTAAAAACAATTACTAGAGCAGCTGAAGGTACATCCTATGTTTTAAATCAATAATTACTCTAATTTAGGTTTAATGGGCATAAGTTGTTTATGTATATAACTATATTGCCTTCTAAGGACTAGAGGCACTCCAAGGGTCACAAGAGTTTCAAAATAGAGTATCATTGTCAAATTTAGTATTTCTTGAGTTGCAGCATGCTTAAAAAATGAAATCAGTTATCATTAAATTTTAGAAAATAGACTGATATTTTATTGAATTCTATTGCTATTATATAAATACTATTGATAGTATATGAATATTATTTATATTCTAGTATGCAAGGCAAAAGCCAACCCTAGCTGTACATGCACAGTGATGGCCTTTATTTTCATTCAGGAAAGAGATGTTGTATTCAGGGTGGATAATTCCATGAAAACATCATCTCTGGGGTTGTTAAAAATAAGCAGAGTGGTAGGAATTAGTAAGAAAACTCAAGAGCAAACACAAAATATGGTGCACCCATGTCTCAACCACAAAAGCAGATCTAGTCACACATGTCAGACAGGAAATAGTAAAATAGGAAAGGCACATAAATCGACCAAGGTAGGTAAGTAAATAGCACAGATAAGGATAAATCATGGTCTGGGTCAGTTTCTGTATCATAGAGATTAAAACAGACAAGCATGTGGAAATAAAAACAGCTGAAGGGAGATATGAGAGAGCTCTGTAAAATCTTGACCATCCTGGGAACGATTAGTCACTGTTCTTCACATAAGAACAAGGAAGTATCAAATGAAATTATTTTCTAGTAGGTTAACACAAATAACAGGGAGTAAGTAATACTTCACGGAGTGCATAGGCCCATTGTAGAATTTATTGCTAGAGGGAGCCCTGGATACCAAAAGTTTAGATGAGTTCAAGAAGTTGCTTCAGAAAATGGTTTGACAAATTAAGGAATGAAAATTCCACCAAGGTCTATAAACCACTCAGAAATGAACTCTGGGCCAGGAAATCCCTAAGGTGCAGATTGACAGCTGTGAGATATTTTAATGTGGGTAGTTTGAGAAGGTGCATATCTACTTGTTTTATCCTTATCTTTTGGTATCTGATAGAGGTCATTTCCTGAAACAGGATACTGAGGCAAATGAATCTCTGGCCTGTAACACTATGGCTAATATTGTGCCCTTGTCCCAGAGCAGAGACAAAAGTGACAATACACTCTCTCTTTGCTTAATGTTTAATACACTTCCACCTATTTCTCAATATGGATTGAACATATTGCAAAATAACTTAGTAAATCATGAGTTCTGGCTCATCCTTGCTCCAAATATACTCTGCCTTCCGGTGAAACTGGAAGTAACAGCCAAGGCAGGTCCACCCTGCTAATGCCTCCAGGATGTGGCAGTATCTTGGAAAAAACACCTGTCCCATTTGGTACCTAGTGCATGTATGACAGTATGTATTTTTAAATATAATGAAGCAAATAGCCTCATATTTTAGACTGGGGCCAGATGGCTGATTGAAGTGAAAATGACACAGCTACACAAAGGAATGGTCACTCTGAAAAAACTGAACTGTTGATATGATGCACGGGCTCTGAACAGTACTGCATGTCATTTACCTTCTATTTCAATACTGTGTTCATGAAAAAAAAAGAAATATAGATCTGATGCTACTCATGACACTGAGAATTTAAAGCTATTTCTGAAACTGACTTTAAATCTTTGACTTTGCAAGTGAACTCTTTGTTGAGGAAAGGACAAGCAGCCCCTAAAATTATGTCACTCCATTTAAAAGATAAAGTAGAATTTAAGGCTCAGGTTTTCAGATTCACAAAATTTATATTAGTAATATAACAGGACACCACATATTCACATTTATGACCATCTCCCTTTTATTCTCCTGAATGCAGAGAACTACACTATCAAAAGTACAAGCAGAAAAAGAATATTTTGAATGCAAGCTATAAAATATTAATTATTGAATCTCTCACTCACAACTACAAGTTTTACAGCTGAAATTTCCTTATTTATTTATGGCTTAAGTAGGATAAATATAGCTTGAATTTACTATTCCTTCCTCTTCCCCATCACAACATGTCCAACCAAATCAGGGAATATTGAAGTCAAATTTTAAAGTGAAAAACTAAATTGTGTCTCCTCTCCCAGAAGTTAACACGTTCCCAGTGCTTTCCATTCTCATAATTTACCTGTGGTTGATATGGAAGCAAATATACTACAGGACATACCATGAACAGCTGCAGCAACAGCACCAACAAAAGCAACATGTGTTGTTGGGCCTTTGGTTTCCAGGTGCTTGAGACACAGCTGATGTTCCTTCATTTTGTGACTGCTGCCTCTTTCTCATTTCAGCTACTTCAGTGCCCAAGTGGCTATAAGAACACAGACATAAGAGATGTACAGAATTACTACAGACCGTCATAAATTACATTCACATTTCTACAGCAATGTCTGTCTGATGCAACTGGTTCTCACAGCTCATGGTAACAGAAGCACATGGCCATCACCTGAGCCAGCCAAGAAACAGTTCCATTGTGTTAAAAGCAGTTTCCAGAAGACCAAATCTCAGTGACACACTTACACTCCTGTGCCACTGAATCATGCCCATTCTTACTGCTTTGGCTGGACTCACAGAGCTGTTTATTATCAGTGTTTTTAACAGCAAGCCATACAGCTTTTGTAGCACTTGGGACAGACTGCCTTGTTCTTTACCATAGGACTATCACAGGTGTTTCCGTTGTACTAAATATACAGCTAAAAATACAGCAGGATGATTATTCACCTTAAACGTGAGTTGGAAAGTGTTTTTTTTTTTTACTTTTTGACTTCTTTAGTCTATGCTGGACCAATGACATTGATGCAAATGATCAAGGGCAACCATCTGGTAAGGGCCAAGATTTTTATATGCCATAACTGAGAGGCTTGTTGCTTAAGAGTTATTCTTGCTAAATAAAATGAATAACAAATATGTATTTATAAAATACTTTTCCACCTTTGAGACTATTTTCTGGTCACAGATCTTTGCTCATTGCCAGCTTTTCCTAGATTTTATTAGGCCAAGATTTTGTTCCTCCCAGTGACTTAAAATATGCAGCTGGAAGTAGTATGCCATGCATTATGTAATCTTCAAAAGAAGTTAAATATTTACTTTTAAGTTACATTATTAGGAAGGTTTAGATATCAGGGTCCTTCTAATGGCTCAGATCTTTGTACAACAACTATAGGTTTTCCAAAGTAATGGCTAGTACAAAAATATAAAGTTTAGTACTTTTGCCTTTGAAAAAGTACTAACAGATTACTGTGGGGAGGAGCTTGGTTTAAAACAGAAGTGGATAGAGATGGCCTGGTGTCAGCAGCGTGCACTGTGCTCCACACTTCCAGGGCATCTTGCTACAACCAAGAGTGCTGGGAAAAGGCAAAATCTGATTTATTTGCCACCTGGTTACACCATGCACAGACAAAGAGACATGCCACTTCTACATGCACTCAAGCAACAGCTGTGAGAATTTTTATTTACATGGTTGTTAAAACTCCCAAGGTTTTTATTCTGCAATAGTGTCCTTCTAGACAGCTTACACACAACCACACACAGCAAGGATACTAAACTTCAGAATTCACACTCATGCTCTAAAACTCAAGGTTGGTGGTTATTTTGGCTTCTTGCATAGCTACCTTTTCCATGTATACTGTCACTGAGGAGAACCAAGTAATTTCTGAAGTGTTTGGTCAAATCAAACAATGAAGAACCATTTAACTATCATTGGTAGGTGCACCTGCTTATGCTACTCATATTAATTATGGTTTACAGCTGTTCTTGAAAATTAAAATGACATGCAAACAAAACCCACACCTTTTTTTCATGTCAAATGCAAACCTCTGGTGTTAGCAAGGGATGCTCTGGTGTAATTGGATAACTGCCCATATTTTTTCAATAGATAGGAAGGAACGAAAACTGTTGAAGCATAATATGTAGCTCAGAGAGCAAGTGACAGTATGAAGTCTCTTTCTACAAATTACAGTGCAGAACTTCTGCTGACTGTGCATGATGCAGTTAAATTATTGCATAGATAGGTGTCATGCTACGAATTGAGTTTTTTTCAGCAAGGTTAAAGGAATTAAAGCCAAATATTTTCAAATGGAGCATTTGTTTCTTTTAAGTAAGATAGTGATTCCAGAAATATTTGTACAACAAAAAAAACCCCAAAATTAGTTTCAGAAACCCGTAAGTTACTCATATTTAGACATTTGGTGGACTGTAATCCCATTTGTTCAACCTGTGTACCCGAAGTCAAGCATTTTTTTCACCATTTTAACTATATATATATATAAATATATATAGGCTAGAATATGTAGCACTATAAATAAAGAGGACAGGGTGAAGGTTATCCATTCAAACATGATGATGACCATTGGTAACTTTGCTGTAGTTTCACAAAAAATTTACCACACCACAAGATGCTGCTGCTGCTAAAATAAATATCCCTCTCCTTTTTCTCCTGCACAGCTCACAGTCACTCATTCCCTCACCTGAGCTGTCCCCCTTCTCTGTGTTGGCAGTAGCATTTGTACAGGTAGCTGGTGAATTTGATAAAAGAGTAGGCATGATTGAAATTTAATCTAGAGGGAAAAGAAAAATAATAGGTTTAACTTGCTTCAAGAGACTTTCTCATTTACCTTCGGAAGAGAATGAGATGTGAGCACTTGGACAGAGCAGGGGAGAAAAATGAATATCAAGCAGGCAAGGAGAACGTGGGGATCATTTTATTCCATTCCTGCTCATACTGTCAGCCAGTGATGCTGAAATGCGGGAATTATGCAGCTGCAGAAAGGTGAAATCTACAGCTGCAGTTCCCAACACACAGAATATGGCAGAGAGGGACAGTCAGGAGTGGGGTTTCACTGGGATGGTTCACACCTTCAATCCTGCCCAGCAACCTCAACCACTGAAAAGTCTCCAGCATTTATCTTTTGGTATGAACTACCGTGGCCAACTGTTTCAGAGGTTTGCAAGTCTGGCAGGACACAGAATTGTGAGGAAATATGGCTCTCCACTGTAGAGCATTTCAGAAGAAATGGCTTCCTCCAAGATTGCATGGAGTTAGTCTAGCCAGCCTTTAGAGCAGAGCTGCTTGCTTTGCCATGTTGTAACAGCTTTGGAGTATGGGGAGGCACACAACTCATCCTCTTTCTGGCCATGTATTATTCATTATTTGGTGAAGGAAGAGGGCAGTCCTTGATAGCAGGTAAAGTTACATTTATCTATTTAGGCCGTATTTGAGAAAAAAAAAAAAAAAAAGAAACTGATAAAAGAAAGAAAAGAATCATAGAGTCAGAATCATAGAATGGCCTGGGTTGGAAGGGACCTGAAAGATCATCTGGTTCCAATCTCCCTGCCATGAGCAGAGACACCTTCCATGAGACCAGGCTGCCCAATGCCCCATCCAACATGGCCTTGAACAATGCCAGGGATGAGGCATCCACAACTTCTCTTGGCAAACTTTTCCAGTGCCTCACCACTCCACAGTAAAGAATTTTTTTCCTAAGGAAGGAAGAAAGGAAGAAAGAGTGAGCAACATCCCCAAATCCTGTATGTACATGCAAGGAGATTCCGGCTTTAACACAACAAAGCATTAATTGCAATGCCAGCAAAATGCTGCAACGGAATATATTTTGAAATGGGTTGTAAACACAGATATTATATAGTGGGACTATCCTTAGCTTCCCAGTATAATGGGGAAAGATCTTACTGGCACAGTGGAAAAAGCTGCATTTAATCCATTTCTCTCCTTCCCACAGCTGACACTGGTGTTCACGTTGAACCTTGCTGTGTCTCATGGTACAAAGAAAGTGATTTTGCTTGGCATGTCTGGGGCTCTGCTCAATAAAAGCATGAGGCTGAAACTTCAAGCAATGGAACAGTGTTCTCATTGAATACATGAAGTGTTCACCGACTTAAGCAGTGGCTGAAGTCAAAGTCATCAGCCCTGTTCTGTTTGTCTTACTTTCTCTCAAAGAGCTTTAAGTTGAAGTCTATAAGAAATATGAAAAACCCACCTTGTGATGCAAAACTATTGCATTTAATGAGGATGTAGTTGGACGGGTGGAAACTTTAGTTTCATGCTTGTTTTGGTTGGATTTCATGTTTCATGTTTTATTTGCAAATACCAGATGTCATCTACGCAAAACAGTAATTGATTCCATTAGATTATTTAGGATGCAGAAACAGGAATATCTTAATTCTTGGCTATATTTAGAGACTGAGTAGACAGAGGGTTTATATTTGGTGCCTTGGTACAAGGCATAAAAAAGAAATTTAGAATCTTTGATTCAGCAAGTCACTCTGATGAGATGAACAATTTTTCTGAAGTGTGAAAGTTAGTACTTAATCGTGAAGGTCTAGAATGTTGTGAATTGGTTCTGACTAGACTTTCTAGAATAATAATACAAATAGTACACACTGTCTCCAAGATCTCAGTTTGCCTTTTAGCTTTTTCACTATTTTCATTCTTCCTGAGACCCTCTTGCTTGGCAAAAGTACCAGGTGGTGAAGGTGGGCCTTTTGTCCAACTGAATGGTTTTTCTCCTTGGTACACTCAGACCATCATGTCACAGGTATCAATTTCTTCTGATAGTTTTGCATCTGGTTCTTTGCCTCCATTTGGTGGCATGGTTTACTAACTGTGTTATGATTTCCATTTGTACTGATAGGAAATAGGAAAAGTATTGGAGCTTGCTTGACTGACCCATTCTCTTGGGGGTGTGTTGGTATTATGGCCCTTTGAGCAATCCCATAACCATGGAAGACTTCATTTTGCAGAACATCTATTGGCCCTACTCTGTAGCTGAGGAAAGGAACCTAAGGGTACAGCAACTGTTTATTATACCAGTTATGAGACAGGTGGCTCTTGTAAGTTGTAGAGCAAGAAAGTCTGTGCAACTCTGAGTATATCTTCAATCTTGCAGTGCTGGAAGATTATGAATACTAAAAAACCCTTAGAAATTTGGAGTAAGGTTTCCTATTAGTTCTGGAACCAATGGCACAAGAATCTATTTCTGTGTTTAGATAGTGTAATTACCCATTACCTATTAAGGTAGGCAATTCCACTGCTTTCCCAGGAGTAATTATTACAGAAATCCCCTTGTGTGCAGAGCACTGTCTTGGGAAGACTGCTCAAAAGAAATAACTGATGGAAAAATTATTTCGTTTATTACATTTATACCTGGGAAGGCCTATTGAATACAGACTACAGTCCTTTCAAATTCCACAGAGTACCTCTAGAAAATGAAAAGAAGGCAATTTCTGAATTGTTGCACTTCCCTGACTCTCCACCTCCTGTAGGATTTGTGCTAAGTTTTACATAGGTTTTAAAGCATTTTCCCCAGAGATTTCTAAGTTATTGGACATGGCAAAAAACACAGGCTGTATCATTTAAATAATTTAATTTGGTATCTCTCTTCTGATGAAGAGATTTTTTTTTTTCATTTTTCTTCCCCTGGCCTTAAAAGATGTCATTGCAGTACTGCAATTTTCCAAATCTTTGACACTGTCCCATCAGGCCCTCTTTGATGTTTTGGAGCCTCCCCTTGCACATGATCTCCTTGTAATAATTTCTGTCCCCTCTTAGC